CTTTCTCTCTCGCGCGGCATGAAACACGGCAAATAAACCGAAGATCGCGGCCTGCGACCAACCGCAGAGTTCCGTGATTTAATGTGTTGCCTTTGCTTGCGTGCGTGCAACTTTAAATTACTCGGTTAAATAACAAAACTTGACGAGTTTTTGTGGATGTGTGTGTATTTGCATGTGTATGTGTGTATACATGTAAAATGTACAACGCTCCAATATTTTTCCGTAATATTAATTAACGTTACTGTACGCGCGAAAAGCTATCCGACGTTGAATAACAATTATATCGTTATAATTAAATTGGCAATTAATATCAATCTAATTGAATTATCACTTTGAATGACTTTTCTCTTTTATTACATAAACGGTATTGTATCATCTTGATAAAAAAAATGTACATATATATATAAAGAAAAGGATGTGGAAGATTTAATTTGTATATACATATAATAAGCATAAATGCGCGATACGTCGCAAAAATGTGCAACTATATGTATAATGTGACACGATGCGCAAAGTGGTAACGTTATACTATCGCGCGATATGCGTTACTTCTCATTCCTTCCTGGGAAAAGACAACGTCAGGTTTTATGCACCAAGCATATAAGCTGGATTAAAGGATAAATGAAAATTGCGAACAGACTCTCTGAGAAAGAGAGAGATTAGGCCATATTTTTACTTCATTTTTATCGATAAATACGCTTTTAAATGCGCATTTAGCATATAGTTTGTGTTATATATATAACAGAATCTCAAAAATTTATTATTAAGATACACACACACACAGTGTCCTGTAAAGAGTGTAATAACGTTTAAGAGTGGATTGCCGAGATCATTTTAAGATAAAAATCCAACTACTAAAATATCGAGATTATAATAGTTTTTAAATTATAAACATTTAAAGTTAGCGAATTAGAATGTTTAAAATTAGCACGTCAGGCAATACGTAAGGTATTAAAGGCGAAAGCTAACTATCGCTCTACTTGTTAATATCGATAAAGATTAGAAGTATAAAGATAAGATTGCTTTTAATGATATTTGTAATTCAAAAATTATTATAGTCTCGATATTTTAATATTATAGGATTTCCATCTCAAAATGATCTCAGGAATCTCTTCTGACAATCTGTATTATTAAATATATATAAATGTATATATTTAATATCAATATAATCAATTAAAATTAATGAATGCATTTATTCATAAAAATGAAGTATATGAATACGAACTATTATTATGTCTCTCTCAGTTGATTTAGATCGAAGAAATCCTCTCCCTTCTAATACGTATTCCAAATCCTATTCTGCCATTTCGCGTATCGTGTGCCACGGCATTCATTTATTTTTGCAAACGCTTGTGCAAACAATTTTAAGTCTCCAGACCGCTGGACCATAAGAATACCGCGCGACTTTTTGCGCGTACCTACACCGCGAACAGTTACACGTAAACGCGAAGTTATAACTAATGTCTTTTCTGATCGCCCGCGACTTCTTACCGACTTCTCCGAGGTTTGCGGTCGAGGAAGTCCCGTCGATTTTCTCCCGCGACTGAACTTCTGCCACGCTATTATTTATCACCCGTGGCGCGCCGTCGCTGTACGAAAAGAGATCGCGATAAAATAATTAGTTTCCAAACCGCACTTTCTTCGCGGATCCGTCCGCAATCGAAAGGCGCGCGATATCTTCTCTCCACACCTCCCTATCTCTCTCTCGTCCGTATATTGTACTCTCCCCATGATTCACCACCTGTCACATCTGGATCGATAACTCGTTCGTAATAAAATAATTTACAATCGCCGCTTCTACCGTCTATACGCTCTATCACTCCCGCGTCGTCAGTGTGTCTGCAATCGATAATCCCGTTCTCCATACTTCGTACTTTGAACATACATCCATCGCGTATACTGTTTATAAATCTATAGTGTTAAACTGAACCCAATTTAAGTCACTCACTCACTGCTCCTATACTTAATAAATAGTTATTTTTTACTAAAACAATGGAGTTAAATAATTATTTTATTTAAAAATAACTATTTATTAAGTAGGAGCAGTGGCGACTTAAATAAGGTTCAATTTGGTCACTATATAGATTTAACAGTGTATACGTTTGCGATTCGACGCTCAAATCGAGCCACTTGAACTGCTCGCCTTTCATAAACGCGAAAATGTTTAATTTTGGTATTCTCGAAATTTGTCTCTCCCTTTCTCGCTCGTTCGTCCCGTGCGGACCAAACTGTAATTTTTCCGTCAAGCACATTCGCCTGAGTCGAGCTCGGGGTCGCGTATTTACCTTCGAGTAGAGTCACGGTATTTGCACACGAGAGGTACGCGCGTCCCAACATCAGTCACGTCGCTATAATTACGCCTTTCAATTACCACTGCTCGTCGAGTAATTAGCATTCTGTGCTATCGCGTAGTCTCTCCCCCCCACCTCTCCTCCCGTTTCCGCGAAAATCCGGAGTCGGTTCGGCCTTGTGGGAAAAACCGCGTCTCTCAGTCCTTTTAACCGCCGTCTTTCCTACGAGAAGGGACTGGAGGGGCAGAGGGAAAAGGAAGGCCGGCAGCTCATTAGACGGTGATTAATTTTCGGCCCGACGCCGCGCGCGCACGTAATCGCGCGCCCCAGCATGCTTTTCCTCGTGGCTGGCTACTTCCTTTATTTTCGCACCGACATCCGGCCGCATTACGCCCGCGATTTCCGGAAGGCTGCAGGGAAGGCGAAGCGGTGAATGACTAACAGGAGGGGGAAGCCCCATTCACTAAGCGTATCTGCATTAACGCGAGTAATATGGTCTCGACTGGTATACGTGCCTACACGACCCGCGAATTCGATGACACGCGTGTCGCATTTGTCAAGATGCATCCGCGGTGGAAGTGAAAAAAATTTACTCTCTCAATCGTCGAGTGTAACCGTAACGGGAAGAGCCGATGTGTCGCCGGAAAAGGCAACGTCGACGCCGCTTTCAAAACAGATTACACGATACAAAGCCCTTTCTAATCTTTCCACGGCTGGCAGCCACTTCTTCATTCGATATTTCAACTGACACTCGAGTAGGTACCTTACGTACATTTACATCGCGACGTGCCTCAATGGGCTTTCCTCTAAGAAATATTAAATTGAAATTCAAGTGTATTGAAGGGGCTATTATAAGTAATTGAAATAGAGACGTAATTAATTTTTATGAAAATAAGCACGAATTTAAAATCCATTGTCTTGGAATTATATTTTTCTTTATACAATTTAAAGTATCAGCTATATATTAATATTTTTCTTACTTGTGTGAAATATAAGAATTTAGGAAAAATTTTATTCTTGTTTCCTTATATTGACGCAAATTGGTAATCTGGGTTTTTCGTTATTCAGTATTACGAAGAAGTAACGCATCTTTGGCTTCTAATGATTTGACTCATGCACGTTACATTATACATAAGAAGAATACACGGGGTATCCCCTACTAGATCTCCTAATCTTTCAATTCATAGATTTCTCAATCAATTCAGTTACTCTAGCCGTTTAATAAAACATATATTCGTTATTGTTTGCAATTGTTTGTAATTAATATTTAAATATCAACTTACTCGTGTTTGAATCAAATGAACTCGTTCGAGCAAACACTGAAGTAACTTATGTTCAATAATTAATTTCGCATAAATTCTGCTTTAACAAAAATTTTCAATTTTTACATTATGAAGATTTATAGCGCAAAACTCTTGCGTGCGGGAGCCAAGATTATCTGTACATAAATCGCGGCAGGAAATTACATTTAGAACGTTGTTAATGAATTTTATCGATATCTCCGAGGCCAAAGAGACGTTCGAAATTATCTCGATGATAAACGGCGCATTAAGACGGACAGGATCGTGTGTGTGTCGGGAGATGTGCACCGAGAGATTTTATGTATCGCGGTGGGATCAAGATAAGCGGCTACAACTGTGTGTATATTGATCCACTCGTTATCCTTGACGCACTCCCATTTACATTCTCCGCGCTTGCAATAAGGAAACTTTTATTGTATCCGCAACGAAGTTCCCTCAGAAGCATGCTAATTGGGACACTGATTGGAATCAGTGAGATGCCGCATCAACTCAACGTATACGTTCCGCGCGAGCGCAGCGTTAGCAACAATTACTTAATCGTCGAGCTTAGGATTTCCACATCACGAATTTGATATGCGCGTTTAATTCGTGTAATTTTTATACTTAAATCGAGAAACTCTCCTTCTCTCATGCACAAACATGCTTATAATCCAAATTGTTTACAAATATTTAAATATCTGCTTTATAATAAGCATCCATTAACATAAAAAAAGATGAATTATGAATTAAATTATCAGCTGAAAACAAATTCTGTAAACACGTTCTCTGCGATTATGACACGTGTCGGCTTTTTAGATATCAAAACAAATAAATGAGGAGCGCTTTTTGCAGTCGGGACTGGCTTTTAATAATATTCCTACGCGAATTTATATATAACATCTTTTAGTTCCGCTGACTGCGCGCGTCGATTAAATTGCCGGTCTTGAAAGAAGGCTGTACTTCTCGTTTAAAGACTCACACATGTCGGTCTAGTTTCTAGTTTCACTTATTGTTGCTTAAATATCGATCCGAAGTATTATCTGCATGCGTATACGATCGAAAATTGCGGAGCGGATTGAGCGGAAAAGGGAAGAGAAAAACACACGGAAAAAACAATTTTGTTGAATCCAGATCTGAAAATAACTTTTGTTCAATAGTCAAAATTATTTTGTGCGAAAGTCAAAATGATTGCTAGAATATCAAAACGTTTTATAGCAATACTTATCAGTTTTAACATTCCAATAATTATTTTGATGATTCAATAAAAAATTATTTTCAGGTCTGTTTTTAGCAAAATTTTTAGGTCTTTCAACAAAATCGTTCTTTCCGTGCACGGCGCGGCGAGCAAGGAGAGCAAATCCTTGAACTTGCATCGAATTCCGCGTGATGCAACTCGGGAGAGTATATATGCTAAGAGGCGCTCACTCACGTGTTGGACTTAATCCGTTGCTCGTTGTATCTGCGATGAAAGTCGAGTAGTTCCTGCACCAAACCGGCCTCCATCATGCCGTCGACCCTGTCGTTCAGTCTGTTGTCGAGGACCTTCTGTAACAGAAAAAAAGAAAGTTTCGGGGATATAAGGAGAGTCACCCTTATTAATTAAGCATGACGACGTCGGCGAGATATCGCCCGTTAAGAAGCCGTTCGGCTCGGCCGCGTTTCCTCTATATAGTTTCGAGCGTGTTACAGCTACGACTATCGGAACTATACTCCCGCGGGCATTAAGTGTTCTATCGTACGACGGCGCGGGATTCTTTTTCACGTACCGAATTTATAATAAATAACCGTTTTAACGAGCGGCTTTGCCGCGCACCGGGAGCGTAAATGCGAGGCGAGCCGCGCGCGAGGAGCACGCGAGTAACGCGCCGCGATCGTTATATATACGTACATATCAGACCCAGTAAAAGTACGATCGTTTTTTTAGCGTTACGGATTAAGCGCGCCGCACGACATGTGAACGGGAGTTTCAAAATTTACAGCTCGAGACAAACCGGCGGAGATATCAGGCGTATCATATAAGTGGAACGTCGAAGCGCAAAAATGTGCCCCGGTATTTCGTATATTACACCTATACATATATACCTATGCACGTTCCATCCGATCGGACAAGACACGAATCGGAATCGTATCGATGACTGTCGCTGATCGTTACGATCACGACATCGTCAAGGAGAAGAAAAAACGGATCGATATGTAGGCTCAATACCAAGGACGGTCCTTGGTATCGATCAACCGTTCAACGACACCGGCGAGGGAATAACGCGCGCGGCTCCCGTTCCGTTAGACGGACGGGAGGGCGGGGGAAGGGTGGGGCAGGGAATTCCGGTGGCCTTGGTGGCCATCCAACGTGTTTTGCAATTGTTCGTCGTCTACATGACCTCGCTAATGGCGAAAGCGCGTTAGAAGGTGACGTGTCCTCGAGCCCGGCTGATGTCGCGGGGATTACTCGACAGCTGGCCGTGCGTGTCGCGCTGGGCGCTTTCCGAGCCCGGACGATACATCAAACACCGACGTGGGTCGTATACGCGATTCACGAGGCGAACGTAGACTTTGTACTGTCCTGTTCACCGGCGGCTCACGCGCCTGTTCCGCGATGCACGGGGTGTCGCGTTGAAAGCGATCGCGGTATGTAACGATATACACCTGTGCCCGCCCGCGATGGTGGACGGGGAAAGCGTCGTTAATGTTACAATCGCGCATGTTTATTTCTAATCGTCTAATCGAGTAAATAAACATATCTCTCGGAATTCACGGGGCGATCCGGTGCGAATCCAGGAGCGTACGAAGATGCAGGTGAACGCACGTATGCAGGCACGCCCGCGCGCGCGCGACGGCGCAAGATTCAATGTCAAACGCGGGAGGGAGGAGAGAGGGATTGTCCGCGGATCTGCGGTTTAATTATCTAACACGCCGCGAAAGATTGGAAGACGTAAGCGTGTAACACGAAGTCACATCAGAGGAGGCTCCGTCAACCGCGCGAACTCGCCGGGTTCTAATTGTTACACGCGCCGCGGTAGTCGCGGTGGCACGAGAGAGCGAGAGGTTTAATAATAAAATTATCGCTTCCAATTTTGGCTTCCTGTTCCTGCGGATTTTCGCGGTGCTCCAAAAGACCTTGGTCAATGCCCGAGTCGAGGCCGCGGGCAGGCATCCTACGGAGCGTAAAGTTTAAATTAATTAAATTCAGCTTTGAGCAATCCTTGTACCACCAATGATAAAGTGATACTGATAAACGCTGATAAATAATAATAAGCGCCCGGCACCGAGCCGCCGATTAAGTAATGGAAAGCACAGCGAAATAAATCAAATAAAATACTGGAGTGTAGTCGCGCCGGTAGCACAAAAGAACCGAGGTAGACTCGCTGTCGTCGCGCTGACACAATTGCGAACGCTCGGTCAATTCAATATTTCGCTTGGTGAGCAAATCTTCGCGGTATTCGCGATACCGCGCGCGCGCGCGCGAACCGTGAGTTCGAGCTCTAATCGAACCGGGTCCAAAATTAGAACTGTGCGCGCATTAGAAAGCAATGCCGGATGGCGAAGGTTTGGTTAAAGATATCACCGGTGACAAACAAAGAATAGAGAGAGTGTGTGTGTGTGTGTGTGTGTGTGTGTGTGTGTGTGTGTGTGTGTGTGTGTGTGTGTGTGCTACAGTTATTTCCTTTAGCATTTATTTTAGCTAGATAAAATTTGTTCACATAACACGGAATAGCCTTGCTTGACAGCTGTCAAAATACACGATCTCCTCGCTAGCAGTTACTGCAATATATGAAATAAGTAAAACAAAAGAACCAATCAGCGAAAGAGTGGTAAACCTTTTACATGTATCTTTGGGAGAGTAGTTATATATATGTATATATGTGTGTGTGTGTTCTCTGTTAATTATGGAAATTAATTTACCTGATTTACGTTAAAATAATTCAATTTATACCGAAGTCATACTTACATGCTATCAGAACCCCGTCCACTTTTGCAAATGCAATTGTCACAAACGTTGGAGTCTTCCTGACGAAGAGTTTGGTTGATCTCATAATTCCGATCGTTGATGTAACACAGATTCTTAGATCTCCTACTTATATGGTCACAGATGTATCTTATCGGGCACTTTGCGTACTGATCACTTGTCAATTTTATGTACATCGGCGTGCAACCGAGGTCATTGTAATACGCCCGGGCATGTTTGGTTAACTTTACGAAAAAGAAAATATGAAAAAGTTTGTAAAAAAAAGAACACGTTTTAAACGAGTAGAATTGATTCTGTCTCAATCGATTACAAGTTATATACGGTTTTAAATCTGCCGGTGTGATGTCTGACTAATTTTAGATTGAATTGTTATATTCTGAGAACAGTTAAAACATTATGACTCAAACGACAAAAAAATGAGATATTGGTTTTCCTTTGCGATTTACCTCGACTAACCGTGACAACGGCGGCGACGAACGTCAAGTAGACGCACACTCGAATCATTTCTGTTATCGAACGCACGCAAGTTCATCGACTGTGGTGCTCGCGTTATTACTTGTACACTGTTATCCCCGATAAGAGATGCGAAGGCGAAAAGGACATATGTAAGAAGTATAAAAAAAAATATGAGAGAGGAATTATAACTAAAGAATACGTACAAAAACGTTATACAATCTACATAAGCATTCATTTTTATAAATGTTTGACCAACATAACGACAACTGAAAGATATCTCAATCTATAAAAATCTATAGTTTCAAAACCTTTTATTTAGCACAATTGAGCGTTAAATATTTGTCACAACAAAATTGTTGCCATAATTATTATGGCATCATTTATGAAGAATTAATAATCTTCAGTGTCTTAATTACATCAACGCGCGACGGTTTGTAGGCAATCCTATTCAAAATTGTTTATTAATTTAATTTGTTTAAGAGTAATACGTACTGAAAGTCGTTTTTCCTTTTGAACAACGATATGCATTGTTTAAATAAAAAAAGGAATCCTACGTATAAATTATGCTATGATTTGTGTGTATTTTAATCTAAATTTTTTATCTTTATTTTGAAAATAATTTTATGTGTGATAATTACGCACATACATAAGCACATTGCAATACTATTATATTAGAATCGAACTTTAAGATTTCAGCTGTCCTTATAAGACGTTGTAACACTTGTTTTCTATGTTAATAGAAAACGCGCATAATTCCGCGAACTTGCAATAACAAGTCAATATTTTATGAAAACTTGTCAATAGATTATTCTTTTGCATATCGTCGCCTATAAATCTCGCGTAAAAAGCGTTGTCAATTAATTCTCGACGAAAAATTAATTAATCGATAGCTAGACAATTTTTATACGTACAAGAAATTGTTACGTATGTTATATTTACATCGATAATTATAATTGCAATAATATGTGCAAGAGATAACTGCAAGAGATAGTTGTCAAGACTAGCCGCACAATTCGTATAATCTTCGTGTGTAAAACGCATATACGTCAGTCATGCGAAATAATATTTCTACGAGACGTACATTCGGATGAGATGTACTTAATATATCGCGACTACTAGGAACAGTTAGTGCGATCTTGAATTGTGTTGCAAGTTGAGGACTATTTCTCAGCAAAGCAATATACATTCTTATTACGTAACGAATATTCCAGTATTCTTATAAAAATTTCTGCAAATTTTATTGATACTCGTATTCATACATCATTTGCATTTATTTATTGATTTTATTGTGCTGTTATACATTTATTTATTTGAAGTATTTGCGCTTGAAAAATTAAATCTTTTAATCATAAATTTAACGTAATTATCCAAAAATAAATTATTATGCTTTTAGATTAATAGATTTTTTATTTCAATAAACGTAACTTTGTTTGCATCTCGGTACGTACGATGAAAAAACATGTTTTTTTTTATTTTTAGCCAAACTGTTTGCAGACGTTCTGCAAATGCAAATGTTTTCGCGCGATTGATTTATAGGTAATTAATCATGTGAAATCTTGGAAAATAATCGGAGAAAAAAAGTTCCATATATAATTATGTATAATTATATGCAAAATATATCCATATATGTTTCTTTCCTTTGTAAAATTATTCTTTAATACAAAATTGATAATAATAAGAAGGAAACATAACAAATAATTAAAAGAATAATTTTTACATTGATTTCTTTTACAAAAAATAAAGTTTGAAGAAATGAGAAAAATTGCTCATATATAATCATATATAAGTGATTAAAAATATACATATATAATTATATATGAACAATTTTTCTTATTTCTTCAAACTTGATTTTTTGTAAAAAAAATAACAATTATTCTTTTAATTATTTTTTATGTTTCCTTCTTATTATTATCAATTTTGTATTAAAGAATAATTTTACAAAGAAAAGAAACATATATGGACATATTTTGCATATAGTTATATATAATTATATATGGAACTTTTTTCCCGGGAAATAATTTATCTTTCACAACGGTTTAAAATAAAGCTTGTATATATCCAATTATGTAAGTTACATAATTACGAAGATGACATTAATCCTTCCGTCGGGGAATATGCAGTATAC